AAGCTAAATACAAAAATGCTAGGAAATTCCGGGAAGCTTGGCATTCAGACAAATGAGCCATCAATAGACACATAGAGATAAACCATATTTACCATTCAAAATTTTAAAAGCTAAGAAGGAAACAAAAAGGCCAGAACACATCCTCTCCAGCAGCCAACACCCAGATAAGCAGGGATTAACACCAAACAAACAATCAACTGGAAAACAATAATCAAGGAACTACCAAGGAGAAAACCACAACTCCATATACACTGACAGGGTAAGTTACTGTAGTATATAAACAGGGAGGAAACCCCACCCTCACTCGCACTGATGATGTTACCTAGTTGGGTAATGAAACATCTGTAAGCAAACAAGCAAGCTCAGAGAGACTCCACAGTTCAACCCTGAGCTACATCACTTCTCTTCTACTAAGAGCCTGGCTGTCAGGTCACAGGTGCAGCAGAGCACAGGGTGAAGTGGCAGGGAAAGATCAATAAACAAGTGCCATCCTCAGTTATTCCTAGCAACATGCAGCCATGGCCTGGAGCATCAAGTAGCCCATGGAAGAGGCAGAATGGCATAGGGATCAGCAAAATGGTAGTCCCCTCTTCCACACAACCTGCCGAGAAATGAAAAGAGTAAAAGATATGACCATGATAATTCTCTTGTAAGAAGCAGCAAAAAACCTGTACAATAATGCACTTAATGATATATTGAACGAGGCTCTATCTCCAGTCTTAAATTGACCTGAGCAACAAGGAGCTACTGCTCTCTCAAAAGAAAGCTATATCCATGTTTAAAAGATAGACCTAGCACTCTTTCAATGACTGCTAAACCCATGCATGCCAGGAGACCGTATAACAAGCAGTGATCAGGCATTATGCAGGCAGGTGCCCTCTGAAAAAGCCAGTGTCTGGTCTCTCCTACAGTCTAAGCTTAAATGGCCGTGGAGGGAGGGGCATGCACACAGCACAAAGAGGCCAACAGAAGCTGGGCAGATGTCAGCCCCTCCCTGTGTCACTGCACACTCTGTTAACGAAGCACGCTCAATGATATCCTTGACAGAACTTGTGTTAAGAAAAGAAAGGAAACAGTGGAAGGCAATTGAAGGCAACTTTAAGCTGCTTCAGCTGTGGGTTAGGGATGAGACAAAGGCAATGTCACATCCCTAAACCCTTTGTTGCAGCACATTTGTCCCATGTGTTCAGGAGTACAAGGATGAGCCCATGGTTGTGATTTAGTCTGTTTTTGAAAGCTATCTAATGCCTGCCTTGGATTAGTAGAACAATCCTATTGTTAGTTCAGAATACTCCATAACTAATTTAAATATTTTCTTGAGTTGGGAGCATGATAGGCCAAGGAGGTATGTGGCCCCTTGGTTTCTACAAGTACTGTATAGTGGACAGAGCTTGTCTTCTAAAACAGTTGATTTTAGTGATGCAAAAACATTTAGCTGTGTTCAATCATAACCTGGCATGCTCACTGTACAGAGACAAATAATTTATAATAATGAAGAAAAAAAATTCACCTTATAATCCCATGCTTTAGCCTATACATTACACTACATATAAAATTCATATTCAACAGAATAGTTTATTTGTTCCTTCTACTTTTACATCCCCTGAGGATTTAAAGACAGGAAGTGATTGAAACTTAAATGAGTAACTCAACAGCTGAAGTGCTGAAAAATTAAAGGATATACAGATGCTTTCAGGTCTTAATTGTCATGCCCCTGATTGAAGCCACATCTTCAGATATGTCTGGATAAAAGCAGGAGAGAGACTTCCCAGAAATTGCCAGCCACATTAGTGCTAACACTAATGGAACCAATTCCTGTTTTGCAGAGCTTTCTACCTCAGGGATCCTCAGCCTGGATCAGACTCTGAACTAGACGTTAGATCACCTAGTCCTTGGGAAAGTACAAAGTTAGAAGGTTGCAGGCTGCAGAAATGCTGGGCTGGCTCAGTCAGCTGTAAATTCTGGCAGGAGAACAGTTGAGCTTCTGGGCACTGTGACTCTTGCTTGTCTCCAGACATATCTGAAGATGTGTCTTCAGCTAGGGGCATGACATCCATGAAAGGTAGCAAATATAGTTCTTTTTCTCTTCTAGCTTTTATCTCAAAGAAAGTTGAGCTTTTCACAATTTAGGTAGTAAAAGACCCATTAGTTTTGAAAATAGCAGCTGTCCTGGCCCATTTGCATCAAATACTGATACCAATTATCTTATTGTGAAGCCAACTGGGCAGGCTGCCACACATCAGACGAATAAGCATCAAGAAACTAGCGGATAGCACAGATCACTGAGTATCCAAATTGTTTTCTACAGCTTGGTTTTTAAGGGAAATTCACCTTGATCATTGAAATTCTTTGTTCTTTAGAGCCTATTAGCACTCTAGGACTGCACAGTGACATAAGGCCTTTAGAAAAAGCTGTTTTTACAGTGTACATCTCTTGAGATATTCTGCAGTGATAAAAACCCAGGAGACTGTTTTAAATCATGTCACTTTCGCCATCTAACCCCCATATTTTCTTCTGATTAGCAGTAGCTTCCTTGGGTGTGAGGCAGAGGTGTTTTACATTTTCTGATCTTCATTCAGTTTAGAGTGGAAGCACTAGGGATTAAAGCTGAAATGTTTTGTATCTAAGCAACAGCTCTCCCACATAGTCCTAACATCTTACAAGCCAAATTGCACATGGCTTTTGAAGACACACACACATACATATATAATCACTTACAATGGGGAAGATAGGCTGAAAGATCTAACCATTTAAATGTTTTAACTATTAGAAAGGTCTAATATTTCCATTTTTATTCCAGTACTTTAATAAAGGTAAAGCCTCTACTCAGGTTAAATCACCAAACTTCTCTCTAAAAGAATGAGATGATCCATGTTTAATCATTTTTAATATTGAACATTTAATGCTCTTCCATATGTTCCTTAAATGGGTTAATCTATGTCTATGTTAAAACTCCAAAATGTAGAACAAAATAATATCCAGGCATAGGATTTTGGAATGTAACCAGAATATCTGGTTTGACTATTCCTTCCAGCATTGGTTGTTTCAATTTTGACCTGCTCCATCATTCCATAAAATCCATATGCATAACACAAGGAATGGGCACAAACTATGGCTGTGCAAGGTTTCAAAGGAGCACCTCATTTTGACAAAGTTTTGATCAAAGAGACCTTTGAAATGCCTCAGTGAAGAGAAATGGCCTTTCCCATCTCCAAAGCAGCAGAAATGGTTGAGCCATTTCAGTCAAGCAGCTTTTACACTTGTCTATGAGTCATTTTTCTTGAAGAAGATTGCTGAATGAGGCAGATGGCTCCTGCCTTGTTGCTTCAATTCTGTGGAGTACCTGCAGAGCAGGTCCACTTCATACAGGCTCACCACAAAAGCTCTTGAACTCTGTTATAGCTGTTAGCAATTTTGCTGTCGAAGTTTGGTGCCAAACTGCTGAGAAATGAGCATTCCCTATAGTTTTTTGACAGCACATTAAAAAAAAAAAAAAACCCAGTGTGAAGGTTTTGTTTATGCTTTAAGTATATACACACACAGGTTTCAACATCTGGCCTCTAGAAGCATGGAACTGCTGGTCCCAGTCATTTTCATGATGTCACTTTATCACATTTCCTGCAGCGGTTGCCTACTCAATATAATAATGATCATAAAGGATGCATAGCTCCCAATAATTGTCTCCACCCCCTGCATTCCATGCTGCCATGGAATGGCCATGGCCATTTGCAATCAAGAATATGGGATACATGCTTGAGAAAGGTGTAAGACTCAAGGGTTTTTATAGGATCACCACTTCACTGGACTCAAAGCAACCTTCATATGTGAAGTGGAACAGCTGAACTATGAAATCAACCTGTTTAAGAATTTCCTTCTGGAGGACAGATATATATTCTTCTACATTTTGCATACTAATGGGCAGTATAGAAATGCTTGAATAAACCAGGGAACATTTTTCAGTCGCTGGTAGATTAAATACAGGTTTCATAAAGAAAAGTGATCATGCATGTGCATTTTAAATCATTTTCATAACTTGGGGGGGGGATTGACATTTAAATTATTACTAATATCATGCCAGCAGCAAGTTAAGTTTCAGTGTAGTTATAAGATTTATGTTGCTTTTTTGACCAAACCTTACTTACAAGTTTTCTAGGTTTTAAGCCAATAT